GCAGTGTATTGGTTAATAGGTGGTGCAGCGACTATAGACGATATCGTCTACGCTTCGAGAAATAAAATTATAGGTAAGGTATATTATTTATTTACCTATTTTCAAGTTGGTTTTAAACCAGTATTATCGTATGGTAAATTTAATTATCAACTTTGTAGATTTACCGAAAAGGAGTAATGTAATAGCAATAGTAACTGGGGGGTCAAGAGGCATTGGACTGGAGGTCGTTAAAAAGTTTTTGATGTCCGATATGCACGTCGTCATAGGTTGTAGAAATGTCCAAGCAGGGCTGGATGCAGTTGAGAAATTTAGAAATCAAGACATTACATCTGGAAAAGTTGACGTGATAAAATTAGATACTTCTTCATTGGAATCTGTAAGAAATTTTGCTCGTGAAGTAACATCATTAATTAAACAACTACATATATTAGTAAACAATGGTAATTTTTAAAAGTATATAAAAAATCCTTTTATTTTGACTTAAACTACAAAAAATGTAATTTTATTTTTAGCTGGCATAATGTTTACACCTTACACATTAACTGAAGATCAAAATGAATCTCAATGGGCAGTAAATTATTTGGGTCATGCTTATTTAACTCATCTTCTTTTGCCTTTGTTGAAAAAAACTGGTGATAATTCAGAATTCTGCTCTAGAATTGTTCATGTTTCATCGTGTGCTCATGTAGCTGGCTCTATCAATTTTAATGACATAAATTTTCAAAGGTGAGACTTGTAATGCTCATTAAAGGCTTTGGAAAATTATTGTATACAAATATTTGTTTTTATTTGAAAAATTAATCAAGTAATGAATAATTTATCTTATATAGGGCATTGTACATACCTAGTGAAGCATATGCACAATCAAAGCTTGCTCAAATTATGTTTTCAAATGCATTGGATAGAAGATTGAAAGAAGAAAATGCAAAAGTTTTGTCAATATCTGTACATCCTGGTGTGGTCGACACTCAGTTGTTTGATGGTACTTTTTTAAAAAAAGTCGCACCTTGGATACCGAAATTACTCTTTAAGGTAACTTTAGATTTTATAGTTTACATTGAGTAATTACTTTTTTTTTTTTTTAAATTGACATAAAATATGATTTATTGTTTAGACTCCTGAACAAGGTTCAAGATCCATAGTTTTTGCTGCATTGTCAGATACACTAGAAAATACAGGAGGAATTTATGTATCTAATTGTCAAAAAACAAGCATGAGTTCTTATGCCACAAATATTGAAAAACAAGAGCTTTTAATGAAAAAAACTGCAGAAATGTTGTCTTTGATCGAATTTTGTTAGCATAAAAAATAAAACTTGAGTTTCAATTCAACACAGGATTTTAAAGATTATTTGATATAATTCTTTTTTTATTTATAATTACAGCACTTAATATGTAATCATAAATATAACAAGATTTTTACTCTTATTTTTTTATAAGATAATTTTCTTTGTGCAAAAGAAATCCTCTCTTTTAAAAAGGTGTTCTTTCTTTTTAATAATCTCTTTATTATTCGGATTTAAGTATTTCTCAAAGCATTTAATTAAATATCATCATCAAACACTTTTTCGATAAAGTAAATATTTGTTATTTACTTTGAATGAAATCTTGCTAAAATTGAAAAAAAGGCTATTTGCACATAATCATTTTGTTTTAAAAAATAAGAAATAAAAAATATTGTAAAAGCAGATTAAAAAATAATTAAAAATGATACTTTTCTGTTTATTTATTATCTAATGTAATTATTATAAAATTTTCTTCGAAATTAATATTTAGCAGTATTTTTAAAAATGACTGTCTTCATATATTTTTTTTTATTATTAATTTATGCAATTATTTTTTACTATCGAAACATACATTAAAAATTAATTTACACTTGCATAACATATAAAATTAAATTTTTTGTTTTTATTTGTTGAATAATACAATTCAAATTACATTTACTTAATAATAATAATTAATATAATGTTAAAATTTATAAACATTTAACGAAACTTAAATACAAAATTTATATTTTTTTGGAATGTAAAAATAAAATTAAAATAAAAATTATTAAAAATAAATTTATTATAAAAAAAAAGGAATTTGTTCAATTAAGTTTTTTAATTGTGATTCTTAAAATTTTTTTTAAGAATCGTGCAACACTCTTAAAATATTTTTTTAAATTAATCACAACTGCTAAAATCTCTAAATTAAATTAAATTATTTGTTTAAACTGCAATTTTGAGTTTTATTTTGTTTTTAAAAAAAAAAAAAAGCTTTATTCCATTTAAAGCAAATCAAAAATTAAACGAATAAATTGTTGAGTTTTAATTAATACATAATTTTAAAATATTTTTACAGAAATATAATTTAAACAATGATTTTAATCTTACATTTAAAACTAAAATTAGTATTAGGCTTAGATAAAATGCGTCTTTTGATTTCATTTTACTCACACATGCATTTTTAATAAAAAAACAAAAAAATAAGAAACAAAAAGTAAAATGTGAAAAGCTTCTAAAACACTTATTGTAATTTTTAATCATCATGCACATAACAAATATTTATAAAAATGGTAAATATATATATATATATATTAAAATTTAAAAAATTATCTAATCAAAATTACTTTTATCTCATAAAATAAATAATAAAATGTTAAAAATTATTATCACTTTTTTCTCTTATGTTTTAAAATAATAATTTTTGTAAATAAATAAATCAGACTATAAAATTGTTCTTTTAATTAAATAAATTTTGCTAATACAAAAAATGTAATAAAATTGATTTTTAAAAACATTTCTAGAAAAAAAAAAAAAAATTTAAAAACAAAAATATTTTCTATTTATATATATATATAACATTTAAATCCCCTCTTATTAAATAAAAATTATTTTTAGTAGTTATCGTGAACTTTGTAAATTAAATATAAAAACAAAATAATAATTTCATAAAATAGTAAAATAATATTACTTTTTATGTATTAAAGCTAAAATTAAAGTTTAAAATCACTGTTAAGGAATTATACAATTTCAACATTTGTTATTTATGTTTTTTTTTTTTTTTTTTTTTTTTTTTTTTTAAAAATTAAGTATATTTGAAGTAGTTTTATGATCTGCTACAGCAATTGTTTTCTCCTACTGATGTTGTTTTACTGTGAAGATTTGTGCTCCCTGTATCATACCTAACAAGTTCTTTACTTTTTGCTTGTTCTCTTAGTTCAGCTGCAATTTCCATAAATAATTTTTCAACATTTTCAGCTTCTTTTGCTGATGTTTCAATAAAATACATTGAATTTCTTTGGGCAAAATCTTCTCCGACATGGGTAGGTATTTCTCTATCTTCCCTATCGATTTTATTGCCTAAAAAATAAGACATTTAAAAATTATTGAAATTTTAAATGACTTTTAGATGTATTTTAAACATAATTATTGTATAAATCTTTTTTAAAAAATAATATCTAAATGAGAATTATTCATTTTCATTTAAACATAAAATTGTAAAAAATCATAAATATCTGATCTGATAATCTTACCCACTAGAATTCTAAGGACTTTACTACTGGCATATTCTTGAATTTCTCTTAACCAGTCATTAAGGCAATCAAATGTTGGCTGACAACTTATATCATAAACTAATATTAAAGCATGTGCTGATCTATAATAGCTTTGAGTAATAGATCTAAAACGTTCCTGACCTGCAGTATCCCATATTTGTAATTTGACTTTTTCATTGTCAATTTCAAGTGTTTTAATCATAAAATCTACACCTATTGTTGCTCCTTGACCAGGAGGAAAAAGGCCCTACAACAAAAAAAAATTATCAAATCATTTTTTTTCATTAGGATTATAAAAATTAAAAATAAGAAATATATGTTGTGAGTGGCTACTAATAAATAACGTCATTATTTGTTGTACATTTCTTTTTACATCATCAATATTTTTATCAACAAAATGCTTAGCTTAAATATTAAATGTAATATTTTATTAAGTTACCACACCTGTGTAAAACGTCTAACCAAACAAGTTTTCCCGACTCCAGCATTACCCACTAGAACAACTTTAAATAGAAATTTATAGTCATCCATTAGTTAATTTTTATACACCCCAACTGAAATTTAAATATAACCCAAGATTGAAACCTTAGGTAGTAATAACTTTGTAACACTTCAAAATATTTTTAAAACGATAAAAAAATATTAACTTTAACATTGGATCGTATTAACGTATTATAAATATATTTACGATATTTGTAAAAAAAAAAAAAACATATTTTTTTAATCGACCTGTTTATTTTCAAATACTATTTGTAGTAGCAGACGACTTGTAATAAAAATATTGTTACCAACATTATTTAACCTATTCAACCTCGTGAAATTTAAATTAAAGAAAACAGTTGAAATAAAGTTTTCCATTTTACACAAAAGAAAAAAAAATAATAATGTGGCTTTAAATTGTAGCTTTATTAATTAGAACTTATATTCTTAAGGAGTATAAGTTTTTTATTCCGTGTGATTTGAAATGAAATTACCTGTGTTTGTGTCATTTTTGAGCGTCACTTTAAATTTCCACTCACTTCAAATAACATCAAGCATCATCAAAATATTGACCGCTGCTTCATTTTCTCCGGCATCTTTAAAACCGTTAAACTAATAATACACTAATAACAAAAAATGATACGAAATGGTCGGAAATCATGCAGTCTTATTCACAGATATTTAAATACCACGGAATCTCGGATTTTTAGAAATTCCCGCTGTAAGTTTTATCAAAATTTATTTACACGATTTTTTTTTCTAAAAAATTAAATTAAATTTAAAAATAAATATTCATATTTTTACTTAATTAATTTATTAATTAATTGTTAGATTACCATTAGATCATTTTAATTAAATTAATTTAAGAGTAAATCAAAAGATTAATTTTTATTTTTAACATTCTGGAAGGTTTTTTTTTTATCTTTTTTTTTTTTTTGTTTCAATAGCTTTATTTATTTTTTGAATTTAAATCTTAAATAATTTTTTTTTTTAATTTGCAAATCCATTCGAGTATAAACACAAACAATTTTTTATTTTTTTTTTTTAGGTAATATTCTTTTACAACAAAGATTTGCTTCAGATGATTTTTCTAAAGGAGGTAAAAATAAAGGTAAATCAATCAAAGGTACCACTGCCAAAGTTGAAGAATGCTTACCTCCTACATCCCAAAAAAAATTACCTGCTGCATCCCTTAAAACTTGTCCACCACCTCCTAAAATAAAAATTCCGAGTTGTGCTCCTGTTAAACCTCCTCCCAAAATTTGTTATCCAAAACCTGATGTGTGTGATGAACCACAGTATGATAATTGCAGACCAGGTCTGTTTTTCTCTTTCAGTGAATTATATATTTAAAAATTTAGTGTTGAATTATAAAAATTCTAGAAATATTTTTGCAAACAATAAGCATATAATTTTAGGTGGCCTTCGAAATCCAGTTGTGCAAGTATGCAAAAAACCAAACATGATGGAAGATTGTCAGAAAAAACCTCCTTTTTGTTTTGAAGACCCTAAAGAGAGCAGACGAAAATTTATAAGGAATTTATTTTTAAGTTTGCTATTTTTAGCTGTATTTTCATATACAGTAAGTACTATTTCTTAAGATTTTTAATAGCTATTTATTTATTTCTTTTTTTCGATTTATTTTTCCATGACATTGAATATTTTTTAAAATATGAAATATGTTTCAAAGATTGTTGTTATCAGTTTTATTACATTAATTTATACAAAATATAATTATCAATTAAAAGTTATTTTGAGTTTTAAAAAAATAATTGTAATAATAATAATAATAATAATTTTTCAAATTATTAATAATTATTCTAGTCCTAGGCACAAAACTTGGAAATTTTATATTTTTATTGGTCATTATTTGCGGACATATATAGAAATTAATTAAAAAAAATTTTTTTATTTAGATGTATAAAATTTTAAAAGAAGAAGAAATAGTTGTTCCTGAAGTACCAGTTGAAAAAAAAAAGCAAAGAAGAAAAAGAGTTGCGTGCAAGGATCCACCTAACTCACAACATATACCCGACTCTGTACCATATTTGCTAATAGGGGGAGGTACTGCTGCTTTTTCAGCTTTTAGGTCTATTAAATCGATGGACCCAACTGCTAAAGTTTTGGTCGTTTCTGAGGAATATGAATTTCCTTATATGAGACCTCCTTTGTCAAAGGAAATGTGGTTTAATAGTGACCCAAAAGATATGGAAAATTTAATGTTTAAACAGTGGAATGGAACTGTAAGAAGGTTTGTAGTTCTTTTTTTTAGTAAATTATAATCAGTATTATTATTTGAAAATAAATTATTTTTTTAGTATATACTATGAGCCCCGACATTTTTATAAGGATGTAAAAGACCTACTTAAGAATGCCAAAGGCGGTGTAACTGTATTGAGAGGATGGTCTGTAACTAAAATAGATCCGTATAAAAAAAAAGCCTACCTGGACGATGGATTTCCCATAAAATATGAAAAATGTTTAATTGCCACAGGTATTAATTTATTAATTGTCATTAGAATAATTTAAATGTGATTTAAAAATATTGATCAAAAATATTATTTTAAATTTGGAAAAGAACAAATTTTTTTTGTAGAAAGAAACATGTGATTAATATTTATAACGGTTTTTTTTTTTTTTTTTTTTCACCACATTTTAATTTAAAATTTTTTTTTTTTATATTTTTAATGTTGGTATTAATTTTAGGATCGACTCCGAAAACTTTAAAAGTGTTTCAAAGATCTCCTCCGGAAGTAAGAGAAATGGTTCAAACTTACAGAGATATTTTCGATTTTGAAGATTTACGTGATGTCATTGACGAAAATGACTCTGTAGCTATAATAGGAGGTGGATTTTTGGGGAGTGAACTTGCTTGCGCTTTGGCCAGATATGGGAAAAAAAAAAATTTGAAAGTTTATCAAATTTTCAAAGAAACAGGAAATATGGGGAAAATATTGCCTGAATATTTAAGTTTATGGACGACGAAAAAAGTTGAAGCGGAAGGTGTCACGGTGTTACCAAATAGTCAAGTTGTTGATGCATTTGTCGGGGAAAAAAAATTAAATTTGATACTTAATGGAGGCGAAAGAGTAAGTTTGAAAAATCCATACATAATATAAATTTTCTTATTTTTTTTTTTTTTGATGTTAACAATATCTTTTCTCATAAAACTTTTCAATAGATAATTGTCGATCATTGTGTAACCGCGATCGGTGCCACGCCAAATACATCCTTAGCTAAACCATCGGGATTAGAAACACATGGCGAATTAGGAGGATATTTAGTAAATGCAGAATTAGCAGCTCGATCGAATTTATATATAGTCAGTCAATTTTTATATTATTTCAAATTTCAACTTTTATTTATTTTAAATTTTTAAAATTTAAAATTTTTTTTTAAGGCTGGAGACGCAGCATGTTTTTACGACATAAAACTTGGTCGTAGAAGAATTGAACATCACGATCATGCAGTTGTCTCCGGAAGGTTGGCAGGAGAGAATATGGTCGGTGCAGCCAAACCTTATTGGCATCAAAGTATGTTTTGGTCAGATTTAGGACCTGAAGTAGGGTATGAAGCAATCGGTATCGTTGATGCTACGTTACCTACCGTTGGAGTTTTTGCTAAGAAAACTGATAAAGACACTCCTGAAGCTGTTGTAACAGCCACGGGTGACAACATACGCTCGCGTACCGAAGAGGTAACAATAATAAAATGACTTTTTTTTTTTTTTGCCATTGTTTTATTCAAAGTAAAAAAAAAAAAAAAATTGATTATATTCAGGATGCTGCACCGGTTCCTCCGGCTAAAGGTTCCCCTAAACCTCCTCAACCTGGAGAGGATTATGGGAAAGGAATCATTTTTTATCTTAGAGACGATACCGTAGTAGGCATTGTAATGTGGAACGTTTTTAATAGAATGCAGATAGCCAGACAGGTATTGTGTAAAAAAAAAAAAAAAAAATTTTTTTAAAAATAATAATAAATAACGTTCATAAATTTAAAAAAAAGTATGTCGTATTTAATTTGTAGGTTTTAAAAGATGAAAGAAAATACGAAAACCTAAACGAAGTCGCTAAATTATTTAATATACACGAGGAGTAATTAAAAATTATTTAGGATATCAAAATCAAAATCAAAAAAGAAAGCCAATTAAAAAATGTTAAAAGTCTGTAGTGTATAATATTGTTTTAGCAACTTTTTTTTTAAGAATAATTTTTTTTTTTTTTCATAGAAGTGCTAATAAAGGGTAATTTTTTTTTTTTATTTTGATACCAAAATAGTGTATCTTATTATTTTTTTAAAAATATTTATTTAGGTATTACGTACAACAACGTAAAGTGTTGGCGAAATGAAGGCGATTAATAAATATTAATTATTTATTGTAGATTAATTTTTTATATTTTTAAGTAGTGTTTTTTTTTTTTTTTTTGGAACAATAAAGCGACTGTAATTGTCAATAATTCCTTTTTTTTTTTTTTTTTTAATTTTAAATATTATTTAATTATTATCCATCATCCGAACGGATGCTGATTCCAATGATGAAAAAAAACTTCTGAAACCTATGTTGCAAATGCAAAAAGGTTAATGATATTTAGAAGTTTTCAATCTGATGGTTTAATTTTTTTTTTTTTTTTATATTAAAAACATGATGATAATGAGTTATCTTGAGTCTGATTTTTTTTTTATTATTATTAAAATAAAAAAAAAAATCTGGATTCGAAGCTCACTGATTTTCTAATATTATTATTATTATTATTTTTTTTTTTAAATGCAATTGTAAATTGATATATCGTTGCATCATCTTTTTTTATTATCAAATTTCTACTTCACGAAAAGTGCAATTTTCTTAAAATAAATAAATATTATTTTAAAATAACATAAAATAAATAAATTTAAAATCATTTGAATAGAATTTTAATACTTTTTCATTCAAAAAAATATGTATATTAGAATTTGCTTAGTTTTTTATTTTTTCCAATGTATTTAATAATTGAATTAAATATTGTCTATATGTTGAAGTGATTTGCACATTTTCAATATCATTTTTAAAATTTTTAAAACCGTTAAGATAACTGATAATGGATGATGATAAATCTTGAAGACTTAATGATCGTTTTCTTATAGATGTCTGCACGGGGAAAAGTGTTTGGCCGACATGAAACTGTGTTAATATTACTATCAATGATAAACTGTGGCAAAATGAAGCTTCTTCCATAACATCTTTGGGAATATTTTCTATTATAAATCTTGAATTAACTTGTTTTTTCAACCTTTTAGAACTAGTAATTGGAGCTGAGTAAATATGAACTGTTTCATTTTTTCCATTGTCTTTAACACTTGAATACTGTTTACCTCTTTCACCATCAATCGATTCAAGTTCCTCTATTGTTTTAGTTTTTTTAATGAACGACGTAAAAGAATTATTATTATTATTATTTTTTTTTTCTATTTTAATCAATATTTTTTCAACAATGTGAGAAAAAAAATTTTTATACTTTTTTAAAGCGGAACAAAGTAGGGATCTTCCAGGAGCTGTATGACACCAATACCGGCACCAGTTTCCTGTTGGATTTAATATTGATATCAATTCTAACCCGGTAAATTTTTTGTGCTGTAAACAATATTAAATATTCTATTTAGTTTTACAAAAAAAAAAAAAACATTTTTTTACCCTGTTGTAAAACAATTTTGTCAAAACTTGTAATAAATCTTTACCTTTGTTGTGGTTGTTGAAGCAAGCAAATGTACGAAAGAAAAAATAACATTTTTAAGTCTTAAATCGTTGAAACGACCCCATTTTCCTGATATTTGTTTTTGGCATTTTATTAACAACAGCATAGATTTTAATAAAATTTCCGAATCGGTATTTGATATTTCCGCCGCTTTAAAATTTTGCGTCCTTTGAAAAAAAAAATTTTTTCTTTCTTCGTTATTATTAAATGTTTCGAATCCTTTTAAGCAAACATTTCTATTATATATCGAATTGTTAGAATCTATCAGGAAAAAAATAGTTTCTGTAAGCGACATAAATGATTCACAAATAACATGTTGTTTTGTGGAAAACAGTAGCCTTTGAAAAACCTAAAAATTGATTAATTTAGGCGGTTTGAATTTTTTAATATTTTATAACACAATTTATGTTACCTTTAATGTTAATATTTGAATTTGTCTGTTAAATTTTTTTCTCAAATATGTTTCAAGACATTTTTTTAAATTGATCCAAGAGGGTAGCTCGATAAAATCCTCTACATAAAGTTCCAATTCTTTCAAATATCGTATTTGACAACTTTTTGAATTATTTTGTAAATTATTAACTACATCCACGTTAATAGACTTTTGAAATTCCGCCGGCGCCATAAAATCCACCGAATCTGATAAATATTCTTTATTTAATTGTTCCGGTGATTTTTCATCTGTAAGCTCTTGCAATTTGTACGCCATGAATTGATTTTCCAATTTTTTAAATTCATCATTCGACGTGTACTTGTCTAACAGTTCATTTACGTAGTTTGTAGTGTCAAAAGAAATATCATCCTTGGAAAATCTATTCTGAAAATCATTTTCTATTATATTACCAAACTTATTTTTAACTAATTTCGTTATTTGTTTTTTATATTTAACATCCATTAACAACAACTTTGTTTTAATTCTTTAAAAGTCAGTTTTGAAAATTTAAAAAAAAAAACTATGGAAACCGTACTGTTTTAAGTTATCAATATTGTTCTCGATTGTGATTGGTCGGATATTTCATCCGAACATTTATTGGTGAATCCTATCAATGATTACGTAATATAGTTTTTATTTATTATTTTATATATAATTTAATAGGTAAACCTACCTAATTTATTATAAATATATATTTTAAAACATTTTTTTTTGTTATTAATTAAATTTTTATATATTTTATATAAAATAATTTATCCGGTTAATTTTATTGCATTCTTACCCCATTGTTTGTCGGCCATATTGGCTAAATGAATGTCGACTATTAGTAGGTGATGGTAAAATGATATTTTCTCAAAAAGTAAGTATAATTTATACGTATTTTTATAATTTAATTTCATCATTATTGAAAATAAAATTATATTTATTTATTATTCAATTTTATATGTTGAAAATTTTATTATTAACTTTAATTGTCGTTTATTGTAATATCCATGCTTTGCCGATCGTACTATTATCAACTGCCTTTCATTAGATTTAATAGAATTAAATTGTGTTAATTGGATCTGTTCGAATTTTAAAATATTAAAAGCACCGGTTTATTTTCCCTTTTTTTTATTATGTAATAATTAATTCTTTTCTTCGAATACATTATTTTTTCCTTACTTTTGTTATTGAGTTTTCGTTCAAATTTTTTTTGTAATGGTTTTAAATAATTTTGTTCCCTTGAAAATCTTAATTAATTTTTTTAGTTTTTTGTTCTTAACGAAATATACATTATATTTTGTTAATTATCTTAATTTTTTTTAAAAATTGCTTTTATATCTTTTTTTTTTTTATTGAAAAAAAATAAAATAAATTTTTTAATTTGTAACACTAATAAATCAGTTAGTTTGTGTGATCAGTAAATAAATATTTAACTTTTATTTTTTATGATTTATGCTTTTTTTTTTTGAAAAATTTTAGTGGTATAATTTTAAATTTTTGATGATAAATGATGAAATTTGTAAAAAATTTTAATTAAATTTTTTTTTCAGATGACTGCCAATACTAAATATTCTTTAAAATGTGCCCTAGCTATTATAATGATTTTTTCTGCAATACAATGTGTTAGTTCAGATGATGATGATGATGATGATAATGATGTATTTGTTGAAGTGGAACAGAGTAAATCAGAACCAAATGTAGATTACACTAGTCCTATTCCTTCAGGTAAAGAAAATTAATTATTTTAATTTCGTTTAACTTTTATTAAAATTTAATATTTAAAATAATAAAATTTGTGCTATTGATTTTAAATTAACTAAGTAAATGAGGGCATTTCCTTAAATATTAACTTCGTTGTTAATTTAGATACTTTTTAGTTGTAAAGATTATATTTAAACATTCAAATAAATCATGTAATTCAGTATACTTTATTATTCAAATTTGTTGAACAAAATCACACAAAATAAAAATAATTATAAGTGTTGTCAAAATTTTTAAATGATGTTTTATATTTAAACTTCTCATAGTATTTCGAAATTTTATATAAAAAATTTAGATGACATATTTTTATTTGTTTATCAGGTGATTTCCACTTAGCTGAAAATTTTGATGATATTAGTTCGTTTCAAAAGAAGTGGGTACCTTCTCAAGCTAAAAAAGAAGGTATTGATGAGGAATTAGCAAAATATGATGGGGTATGGTCTGTTGAAAGTCCTCAAAGGGATGGTTTTAAATCAGATTTAGGATTAGTGCTAAAATCAAAAGCCAAGCATGCTGCCATAGCATCTAAGTTAGATAAACCATTTTATTTTACCGAAAAACCTCTAGTTGTTCAGTATGAAGTAAATTTTCAAGAAGGTCAAGAATGTGGTGGTGCATATTTGAAATTATTATCACATACAAAAGAAACTCAGGATCTAAAACAGTTTTACGATAAAAGTCCTTACACTATTATGTTTGGACCAGATAAATGTGGAAATGACTATAAAGTAGGTTTAACATAGAGTAAAAAATAATTTATTAATTAAAATTTTTTTTTTTTTTTAGTTTTTACAATGAGTTTTATTGATTTTTCAGCTTCATTTTATATTCAGACATAAAAATCCCAATAATGGAACATATGAAGAAAAGCATTGCAAGAAACCAAAAGAACGAATAAATGAAGCTTTTGAAGATAAAAAACCTCATTTATATACACTAATTGTTAATCCGGACAATACTTTTTTAATAAAAGTAGATCATAAGGTAATTAAAGCATATATATTATGAAAAAAAAAATACTACTAATGAGATAAGTTTTTAATTTAAAATGAATTATTTAATTTTAAATTTAATTAGGAAACAATGTACTCAATATATTATTCTTTCAAATTAGCATTAACGTTATTTTAAAAATCTTAGATTGTGAATGAAGGCAACTTATTGGAAGATTTCGTACCACCGGTTAATCCAGAATCCGAAATAGATGATCCAAATGATGTTAAACCCAAAAATTGGGATGAGCGAGAAAAGATTCCCGACCCGGAAGCACAGAAACCCGATGATTGGGATGAAAGTGCACCAGCAAAAATCATTGATTCTTCTGCTGTTAAACCTAGTGATTGGTTAGATAATGAACCTCTGATGATTCCTGATCCAGATGCCGAAAAACCTGACGATTGGTGAGTTTTTATCTTTTAAAAATTTACAGGTCCGTTAATGCAAGTTGGTTTATTTTAATTTAATTTTTTCATAACAAATTTAAGGGATGCTGATATGGATGGTGAATGGGAAGCGCCTTTAGTCGAAAATCCTCGTTGCGATGGAGTGAGTGGATGTGGGCCTTGGTCACCTCCTCTTATAGACAATCCGGCATACAAAGGCAAATGGAAGCCTCCGATGATAGAAAATCCTAATTACCAGGGAAAATGGACTCCCCGGAAAATACCTAATCCTCACTATTTTATGGATCCACTTCCGTTTAAGATGACGCCCATTGTATGATTTTTTTTTTAAATATTAGATCTCCATTTTTTGTAAATTTGAAATTAACACTCATTGAATTTAAAAAAAATTAAAATTAACTTGTTTTCGTTTAGTCTGCAGTCGGTTTTGAATTATGGTCTATGTCTTCATCGATATTATTTGACAACATATTGATAACCGATTCAGTTGATGTAGCATTGGATTACGCTTCGAAATCATATGATCTAAAAAAGAAAAAAATTGATGAAGATGCCGTAAGTTTCAAAGTTTATTTTATATTTTTATTAACGATAAAACACCAGACTAATTTTTTTTGACGCGCAGGCCAGTACTCACGGGAAAATAATGAGATCTATTAATTATAAACCAAAATGGTGGGCAATATACGGAATGTATTGTTTAATTCCAATGGGGATATACATATATTATCTTTGCTCTAGGTTAAAAGAGGTAATCTGAGTTGAACCCTCTTTTATCACTAGGCATTGCCCCCCTTTATTTTTAGGACTTGAATAAACTAGTTTTAAATTAGATTTATTACGTAATAGTGCTTACGCTTATTTTTCCTATAGTTATATTGTTACCTTGTCTCCTATTTTCAGGAAAGCCTTTTCATTAGAATTTTAAAATATTCCAATGAGAGACCTTACTTGTATGCTGTTTATATCGTTGCTGTAGGACTCCCTATTGCTCTTCTTTTTGTTTTCTGCTGTGGATCTACCAAAGAGGTAATAGTTAAATATTTTTCTTTAAAGTAATCTTGTTAAGTGCTATAAGTAAATTTTGTTTTGCATATTTACAAAAATAACTGTAATTTTTACACCCTTAAACATTCTTTTATTTATAATTTTAATAAAATCTTAAAAAAATTCCTATAAAATTTTCAGGAAAAATCTGAAACACAAATGAACGCTGATCCTAAAAAGACTGATGCTCTTACACCAGATGATCAACCAACACCACCACCTAAAGCAAAGAATCAATTGGACATTCCCGAAGACAATGTTGAGGTAGAAGAAGAAGAAGAAGAAGAAGAGGAAGAGGAAGAGGAAGAAGAAGATGATGATGATGATAATGATGATGACGTCGAGGAAAAAGAGGAAATTTCTACAGTACACGAAAAAGAAGATGTTAAAAAAACTGAATCCGGACAAGGGGATGTACCCTCTTTGAAAAAAAGAAAACCTCTTAAAGAGTAAACGTTTTTTTTTTTTTATAAAATTAAAAAAAAAAAAGTATTATTTATATATATATATATATATATATATATATATTATCTTGCTAGGAACACGAAATCGTAATTAATAAGTTAAAAAGCAAGTGAATGAAATTTATATAGAAATACTTTTAGCTGTATTCATATAGAACGTTGGGATTAATGGGATTGACGTTTGATTGATTGATTGATTGATTGATTGATTGATATTTAGCAAATCCGTTTAATGCGTTGAAAAACTCATGAGTAAATTTTTATTAGTTATAATTTTTTTTTTTTTACACGAAAAGGGTTGTACAGTAATTTAAATCGTCATATACTTTTAATTCAGCTCTATGTAATAATAATAATAATAATAATAATAATAATAATAAATTAGTAAATTTATAATTTAACTTGATTAGTTTTTAATAATTATTATTATTTCTATAAATTTCTTTTATTTGATAGTTTTTTTTTTTTTTTAATATTACAAAGTGCGTCATCAAATTTAATTTTCAAATATTTTAAAAAAAAAAAGTGTTTGAGTTTTAAGTGTTGTTTAAGTTTCAATTAATTGAAAAAAAAAATTTTTTATATAGAATTCGTGATCCACCTTCTTAAAATGATTGATTGCGCTTTAATTGATAATTTAGAAAATATTTTAAAAAACGGCTAAAGTTATTGAAAGGTATTATAATTATTATTATATTTATTATTATTATTATTATTATCGTTATCATTATTATAATTAAATATTATTTATTGTCTGTCATTGCTATTCATTATCAATTTTTTTTTTTTTTTTTTTTTTGTTAAAAATTATTAAAATTGAAAAAAATGCTGATGATGCTTTATTTAATTCCTGATGTGTAGAACCGCATTCATTTTTTTATATAAATAAATAAATAAATAAAGGGTGATGATATCTTATTAAATTGTTTTTATAAAAATAGATAACCAGACCATAAGTTATAAGTTAAAAACCTATTTATTATAAAAATTAATTTAAAAAAACATATTAATTGAGTAAATATTATTAAATAATTTGAATAGCTTTTTCGCTTATTATTCTAGTCCATAAAACATAAGATTATTTTATCTTTTTACAAAAAAAAATAAAAAATTTGAATGTAATTATTCAATAACAGAGATTAAAATTAATGGCGGAAAAAAATTTCTAGAAAGTTAACCGAGTTAGTTTTGTTTATAAAAATTTTAATTTGAAACAAAAAAAAAATATTTTATGCTTAAACTTTTTTTTTTCTTTTTTTGATTTAAGTCTGAAATACATTTTATTATTATTTGTAATTATGGCAAAAACTTACAAAAAACTTACCGCGTTTTTATAATACAAACCATACAACCGGAAGTGACGTACACAAATAAAAAAAAATTTTTAATGATATCCGATTTAAGAAATCGACATTTTGAACGCCATTATAGTTAAAATGGCTGATTGTGCAGAGATTGATATTTACGGTGATGATATTGAACCTGAAACTGCTACGGGAGAAATGGATATTTACGGTGATGATATCGAGCATAAGTTTAATGAAGTAAGAATTATTTTTAGGGTTTTTTAAATATTTTTTTTAAATTTAAGTAATTGCTAAATGAAAGTGGCGTCGGTAAAATTTTGTTTTGCCGGTTGCCAGATATACAAAAGTTTTAAAGAACCTCATACATTAATAAGATAGCAAAATATACTTTTTTAAAATTATTTTACTATTTTTCACAACTAAGGGTAAAACATTAGAAATAAATTTTTTTTATTCGAGCGTTATATTTAATGATTAAAAATTTTTTAAAATAATTATTAACCTACGCATTCAAATTGTTGATACAAAAACGTTAAATCAAATTGTTTTATATGTTATTATTAATAGTGTAACACATTTTTTTGCTTGAAATTATTAAATTCTACAGCGCGTAAATTTATTTTTTTGCAGCAGGAGTGTCATGGAGATGGAGTAGACTTGTACGATGATGTAATTGCAGCTCCTCAAGGGAGTGAAGAAAATGTGAATCCAAATAGAATTCCACAAGGTGCTCCTCCAGTAACACCAGGTCCATCTCCCAATGGTCTGGCTTTTCCACCCAAGAATCCTCAAATACTACAAAGGTTTCAGTTATATGTAGGAAACTTAACATGGGTACTTTTTTCTTTTTCCTTTATTATTTTTTGAATATTTTTAAAAAGCATAGAGCTTTATAATGCAACTTGAATAAAAATGTTTTAGTGGACCACTGATCAAGACATTACTGATGCAGTCCTCAGTATAGGTGTCACAGACTTTATGGAAGTGAAATTCTTTGAAAATCGAGCAAATGGCCAATCCAAAGGTTTTTGTGTTATTTCACTGGGTTCGGAACCCAGTATGAGAATCTGTTTGGAAAGATTACCTAAAAAAGAACTTCATGGACAACTACCAGTAGTAACGTTTCCCTCGAAGCAAGCATTGTCTCAGGTAAGTTTACATATCAGTTTGGGAACTCATTTTAAACTCTAACAATTTGGGACTTACTTAAATTAGAAATTAATGAATTTATTTAGAAACAAATAGATAAAAGTTTTTAAATATCAAATGTATAAGAAAAATCCACTTTTAAGTAATGAGAAACTGCTTTTTTTATGCATATCACTCAATCATAAGTTTATTTTAACTTTTTTTTTAAAATTTATTAAGTAATAAGTATTTTATAAAAGTATTCAATATTTATTTAAATATTTTCTAGAATATTAATTTTAAATACCCTTATAATGTAAAACTATGATTTTGATATTTTTTATTTTAATAGTTCGAGTCTCAGTCTAAAACTCGATCAACTCCTCCACAAAATAATCAAGGACCACCAATGCAGGGTCCGCCTTTGCAAGGACATCCTGGTCATCCACCTATGCCTCCGATTCAAGGGCCGCCTGGACCACAGCAAAGGCATCCTCATCCTGTTGGGCCTAGGATGGTCATGGGGCCAGGAGGGCCTCCTATGGGACCAGGAGGTCCACAAATGGGACCTCCTCCTCCAATCAGAGGAAGAATGCCTCCTCCTCATGGTCCCCCAGTTGGTGGTCAGTATTTCAGAAAATATTTGTTGCCCAATGTATATTTTTATCTTAAAATTTTTTTTAATGTTAGGCCCGCCCATGATGGGACATGGCCAACCTCCACAAACACAAGGACCTCCTCCTGGCTATCAGCAACATTGGAATGGTCCTCCACGTCAAAATGGGCCACCAAGACCGCCGGGACCTCATCAAGGACCCGGAGGTCCTCCTGGTCCACAGCAAAGACCTCCTGGAATGGTAAGCTAACTAATTGATATTATTAAAGTAGTACTTAATAAATATTTAACTAAATAATAAGTTTAAAAAATTACAGCCTCCTTTTCCTCCGCACATTCCTCCTCACGGACAAACGCCACCTCGGGGACCGCCTCCAGATCCAAGAGGGCCACCACAGCGTCCCGATTGGGGTCACAGACCCGGACCGGGTGGTCCACCACCTGGCCATCCTGGTCAGTATGCATCTCATCATCAAGGTCCTCCAATGCAAGGTCCTCCAGGTCCAGTTCCTCAAGGACCTCCTATTCGAGGTCCACCACCAGGTAAGAATTATTTATATTTATAAATAAATTTTTGAGCCCATTAAAATATGATTTAAATATTATTTTAAATAGGGGAGGGTTTTATCACTCAAATACAAGTTTACTAGTTTAGAGGTATGTTAATTATATCAATGTATTTTTTGTCTAGCCTTTTTAAATAAGGAAAATTTATGCTTAAACACACTAATAAATACTTGTTAAAAGGATAATCAATCTTGTTCCTGATCACCTTCGCCTTATAACTTACAAATTTGTAATGGTATAAAGTTTGGCCCTCCACCTCGTTAAAATTAAAAATAATTGTTGGAACTGTTACTGCAGGAGCAGGAGGACCCCCACCAGGACATGGGGGACCGCCAGGAGCTCCCGCACCTCATGTGAATCCAGCATTTTTTCAAAGTCAACACGGGCATCCTGGGGCCCCTCATCCTGTGGGGCCGCCTCATCCTGTTCAGCATCCAGGAGGTCCACCGCCGTCGAGTGGCCCTCCACCGGGTGCAGGTTACGGTCCAAGAACGCAGCCTTCAGGTAAGTTATTTACACAGAGTATAATTGCACGGTACATTGGAAATGTCCTGCATGCGGAAAAATCCAGGTGGATAATCCTTAAAAATCCTTTCATATTGATTTTTGTCCATAAGCTAACTCTTCATTTCATTAATTGATCATCTTTACTGTTTGCATCACAAAGGTTATTTATTATATTTATTTTTTTTTTAAATATAGAATAAATATGGTACGTTATTTGTTATGAATTAAATTCTAAAGAATATTTTTTTAAATTGAAATTTTTTTGTTTGAAATTATTAGGTTACGCACCGCCCCCTCCTGACATTCGACAAGATTCCGCCCCAGCAATCAGTGACACAGAATTTGAAGAAATTATGGGAAGAAACAGAACTGTTTCGAGTTCGGCCATTGCTAGAGCCGTTTCGGATGCAGCTGCTGGTAAAAAAAAAAAAATTCTATGTTTATAGAAAAAATTTTTTTTTTTTGCAGTAAACCTGTATTATAACAATTTTAAAGTAATCTTATTTTAAATAGAATTTTATTTTCAGAAATATGTTATTCTTTCAGGTGAATATGCTAGTGCTATTGAAACATTGGTCACCGCAATTTCCCTCATCAAGCAAAGTAAAGTTGCCAACGATGATCGTTGTAAAATTTTGATATCAAGCTTGCAAGATACATTACACGGAGTCGAAGCAAAAAGTTATGGCTCGTCCCGAAGAGACAGATCTAGATCACGTGATAGGGATCGTCATAGAAGACGAAGAGAAAGATCAAGGTCTAGAGATAGAGAATACAGAGATCGGTCAAGAGAAAGGGATCGAGAAAGGTTAATTTTTTAAATTTATGGTTTATTATTTAACATAAGTAATTTTCGTAATATATGCTCAATTTTTAGATATTACGAAGAATACAGAGATAGAGATAGATCGCGGAGCAGAGGAAGAGATAGAGATAGAGAAAGAGAATACAGAGAAAGAAGTCAAGACAGGTTTGTCATATAACCCCGTATTCAAAAAAATGAATACTTTCAAATGGTGGTTAATTAGAACCGATGTCTGATTTTTCAGTTTTTATTACAGTTCATCAAGAGCAAGAGGGGGAAGAGGAAAAACGCCACCACCGGGAGAACCCACAGAGGCAAACGCTCCATCATCAAAATCTCGGTTAGTAAAAAAAGCATGCTTTTGAATTATATATAAATACCACAACACATGAAAACGATGTAAATGGTATTTGAAAAGAAAAATTACAAAATGAGGAGTACTTTTTATTTTCTGTTCTTTTTAAGTCTTTTTTTAACATACTACAACTTTTGAAAAAGTGTATGAAAAATTATTTTGATTAAATTTTCTTTTTCAAATGGTTTAACACTCCAACTTTGTGTATATTTTTGCATGTTATTTGGGTTTCTTCTTTCAACAAAAAAATCTCTATGAATGATTTATGGTGTGTGGGTTGAAAAAGATTATATTTAAATTTCATTTACTCAAAAATCAATCGTTAAATATTTCAAAATTTTATTTTAAAAAAATAAATAAATTAAAAGTAATGGTGAATAAATCAATTGCAGTTACTTTTTTTCCAGATCGTATTATGACGATAGATACAGAGAAAGAGATAGGGAAAGAGAAAGAGAGAGATCAGATAGGGAAAGGTCTGATCGGGAAAGAGCAGAGAGAGACAGAGAAAGAACTGATAGAGAAAGATCCGACAGAGAAAGGGAAAGAGATAGAGAGAGGGAGAGAGAAAGAGAGTCAAGACGTGATCCAGAAAGAGAAAGGGAACGAGAAAGAGAGAGAGAAACATCCTCACATAGAGATAGAGAAAGAAGTGAAAGGAGTTCTAGAAGAGACTAAATTTTTTGCTGCTTTTTTAAAAAAAATGTTTTTCTGATTTTTCTTTTCCCCCCCCACTCCACACCCCCTCCCCCCGTCTTTCTCATTGAATTGTAACTTAAATGACAAATATAATAAATAAAATTAGTAATTTTAAGAAAAAGATATACAAAGTAAAAAGTATATATATATCATTTCGAGTATTTGTGTACATCAAAATAAGGAATAAACAAATTTTTTTGAATAAATTAGATAATTGATTTTTATATATACATATTTTTTTTTCATTTTTTAATAAATTGAAAACATTTTATTTAAATTGACTAATATTAAAATCGAAAATTATTGTTTTATTTTAAATATTAGTACAGTTAACAAGAAAATAATTTGAAGTAGTCAATAAATTCTTAACATGTGAAAATATTTTTTCCTTACTATTAGTTCAATATCATTAAAATAAAAAGAAGGGATTTTTTTTTGTAATAAAAATAATGTCAAAACAACGTTTTTTTTTTTTCCTTTTCTTTTAAATGAATTTTAATAATTTGTATTTCAAACAATATATAGTATAATGTGTATAAAAAAAAAAAAAAAATTTATTAAACCATAGCCTTCTATCACGATTATAAAAAACTACAACACTAAGAACCTTCTTTATTTAAGGTACGAAACATTTTAATTATTAATAATCAAACTGAACAATGTTTAACAAGAGCATGTCATTTTTTTTTTGCAGGAAAACTTCAATCAAGTAAAGAATCATCATTAAAAAAAGTGTTTTAGAAGTTTTTTTTTTTTTTTAAAAGTGTTTTTAAGCCAACGCTTTTTTATCATTTTCCGTATATTTACTAAACATGTTGGCATAAAATTTTTGCTCAATTTTTTTCTGTTCGCTTATTTTTCTGCAACAAGCTAATATTTGAGATGATGCAAGTTTATTGTTTGGCTCAATTTTAAGAACAGCTTCAAAATCCAGTTTGGCTTTGTCTGGTTCCGATATATTAAAGTAAGCCTAATAATTTTTTTATAAAATAACATTAGTTTAACTTTCAGGTACTAATTTTATGTAAAAATGAATGAAATTTCTTACCTGTCCTCTTCTAAAATAACCCTTTATGTTATTCGAATCTAATTTCAAAGCTTCATCGCATTCTTTTATTGCTTCATAATTTTGGTTTAGTTTTAAATATGTAATAGCCAAATTTAATCTTACAGCTATTAGTAATCTGTTTCTTAAGGTTTCTTCATCTTCACTAAAACCTTTTAATAATAAATGTTTTAATCTATTTTTTCTTTCTGTGATTTTTTTTTTTTTTTGAAAAATTAAAGTCTAGCTTCTTACCTACGTCTGAAGAAATATAATTTAATGAATCCTTAAAAAAATTAGCTGCTTGTAAATATTTTTCTTCTTTAAAATATTTGATTCCTTTTTCTTTGTAAAGTTCAGCTTGGGATAATTTTTCAGATGAATCCATTTCCCAAGTTTGTTTGACTCTTTCAAAATCTTCCAATGTCACTTCATAAGTAACAGTTGCATCTGGTGGAATTTGAAATTCTGCATTTCCTTCATGTTTAAAAGCATATTCTGGCTTTATTTCAAGACTTGATTTTTCTTTTTTATTAAATTGAAGGAGTGCAATTTCAATTCCTTCGATAACATTCACTTCACATCCTTCTCCCAAATTAAACGACAATGATCTATCATCAAACACTTTACCATTGTATATTCCAGTTATGTGAACTTGTTGTAAATAAGAAATAACAATAAGTAAAATGTTGAAATAATTTTTCTCAAAATTAATTTAGATAAAAAAAAAAACAGTGCTACTCACCTTTGACTAATCCTCCTTGATCAGGTTTCGAATATTCTACCCCTTTTTGAATTACTCTTCTTAATATTCCATTGTCATTTTTTTTACTCAGGTTTTCTAATGTCCAATCGATTAGTTTTATTTCAAAAATTAATGTCGAATTGGGTGGAATTTTAGGAGGCATTCCATTTTCACCATAAGCATATTTTGGCTTACATGTTAAAAGTGCTACTTCTCCTTTTTTCATTGTAGCTAAACCTATATCCCATGCTTCAATCACGTTTCCTAATAATAAAAAAATAATTACATGTTTTAATACAAATTCTGTTAAAGTGTAATGCAATACAAAAAGTCATGCACTTGCCTACTCCAAGAACAAAGTTTAGAGGAGTTCCTTTATCATAGCTTGAATCGAATACGGTACCATCAGTGAGAGTACCTTTGTAATGAACTGTTAAATTGCTTTTGATACTCGGAAAAGTCGTACCTTCACCTTCTTTAATAATTTCTTTTAAAACTCCACCATCTTTATTTGGACTAATATCAATAGCATTGGATGTTGTATTACATTCCGAATTATCTTTATCCTCTTTCGATATCATGATTCGAGTATACTCTGCACAATTTATTAATTAATATTTAAAAATAAAAAAGAAACAATTTTAAATTATTTCTAACAAAATGAAAAATAGAATAATTCAAGTTTATTCTTTTAAAATTACTTAATCAAAAGCTTTTGATGAAATTTCAAATATTTTTAGTTAACGACGCTAAAACATAAATTTAAAAATTCAACACGTTGGTTTGTAATGAAGTCAAATAAATTCCCTTTCATTTGAAACAAAAAAAAAAAAAAATTTTTTTTAGAATCAAGTTTGATGTTAAAATTTAAATAAAAAATTAATTTATTTAATACATTTACAAATTTTACGGTACGTAGTTTGTAATTTTAAAAAAAATTAATTTATTTTAACTACTCTTCGATCCTCATCTTTTCATTGTAATTATTCATAACAGAAAAAAAATATTTGCTATTAAAATTTAATTGCAATAATTTTTTAAAAAGTGATTAAAATTTCAAAAATATTTACCAAGTCAATTACGATTTTATTAATGATTTCAATAATTATTTTTATTATTTTATTTACTTGAGGTTTCACCAGGTTAAAAAAGTAAATAATTGATGAATTCTAGAAGTTCTTAGAAAACAGTTGATTTTTGTTGAGAATAGTTATGAAATGTAAAGTTTTTTGAAAATTATTTCATTTTATTTAAAAAATTGTTTCTCATTTTAATCTTTAGTATGATTAAAACCTAAATATACGAAAAACTTAATTCGTTAATTATTTGTATTATAAAAAAAAAAAAAAAATTACATTTAAAAAAGTATTTAACCACTTGCAATAATGAATTTTGTATCTTTTTATTACAGGTGTCAAACTGCCAAGAGGTTTTTAGAAAAGGAATACAACAATTTCAATGTATCAAATAAGTATTCATTTTAATAATTTTTATATTAGATAATTTTTTATTTACATACAAATCATAATAATTTGAAAAAATTTTTAATTTAAAACAATTATGAATAATTATTTATTACTAACACTAAATGAAGTGGTTGGAATGGTTATAGGATTGGCTGCAGAGCTAGCCAACATGGCAAGTCCATCAACTTTTAACGGAAATCCAGATCCGATATTTTCGGAAAAGGGAGTGGGGCCGGTTAAACTGTGTAAGGAAAACATTGTTTGCTTTTTGATTCGATTTTGATCCGTTTCATTATCAAAAATATTAGTGTCGTCTTTAAAGTAGACTCTTCTTAAATTTTTGAACTGTTCTTTTTGCGATTGAATAGTCGTATGTAAAGATTGTGCTCGAGCGGCTAATACGATGAGGGTTTCATGAAGTCTTCGCATAGCTAATGTCAATTCTGAAAAATTAAAAAAAATGTTATTATCAGTTAGTAAAAAAAATGATCAATTTCTTTTATTTGTAGTTAGGTTAATAAATAACTGTGTTAGTAAATTTAAAAGGCTCACCTTGAGGAGATATTGTCGAGCATTGAGTCAAAGATTTTAAATGTTTTTCGGAAGCTTCAATTTGAACTCTTAACCTAACTGCATCAGTCTCAAATTTTGTAACTAAATCATTGAAATAATCTGATGGTGCACAATTATTATAGTCTACACTTGAAGACACTTCATGATTTCTTTGAGCCATTTCTGATTGATGTAGAGCCTATTAAAAAAGATTTCAATTGTATATTAAGAAATGTAACCAGGTTCGGAGAAGCACAATATGAAATAAATATCCATTTAAACAAAAATTGATTATATTCTACAATGAAACTTACTTGAGCTGTTTCAACTTTCAATTTATCGGCAGCTGCACTATTTTTTGTTAGACCACTAGCAATAGTTGTTAGGAGAGATTCCATGGCTTCTATATCTCCTTGAACTTTTTTAAGAGGTTTGGAGCTACCATGTGAAATTTCCACACTAATGCTTTTTTGCTGTTTTGTAAAATTTCTGAAAGACAAATTTTAAATTAACATAATCTTTAAATGAATACTTCAAATAATTTTTAGAAACTTTTAGCTTCATTATTTCATGTTAAATAACATTTATAAATAATGAGAAATTAAGATATAAATAACCAGTTTTTGATAGTCAGTAATAGTCATATTTAATTTTAATTAAACAAAATTATTTCAGGTTTATGAAAACGTCAAAAAACTAATAATACCAAACTTACTGGAAATCATTTAGTGTTTGAAAAATTACATCAGGTAATGTATGATCTTTAGTTTGTTTAGGTTCTAATGTTCCAGAACCAGATAACCCTTGAGTTGTTTGTGTCTTATCGATTCCTCCTAATCCCATTGAATTGTTTTTATTTGAAGAAGTCATAGAAATAATAGTAGTGGTTTTGGGAGCTCCGAATAATCCTCCACCCAGTGAAGGTGTGGTTGTTGTGGAAGTTCCAAGATTAAAAGTTGGGGTGGTGGTTGTAAGTGTTCCAAATGTGAAACCTCCAGTTGTTTTTGGTAGTCCAAAGCCCATGTTTGTAGTATTAGTAGAAGTTTGAGAAAAAGTAAAACCTGTAAAAAATTTTTCATTTTTAAATAATATGATTTAATCTTTATGTAATGTAATATGTATAATTTATTTTGTGTTACAACTTACCAGTTGATGTTGTGGTTGAAACTGTAGTAATACTTGAAGTTACAGCTGAATTAACTCCAGTTCCAAAAACTAAGTTTGAAGTAGTGGGTATAGCAGTTCCTAAATTTGCAGTGGGCATTGTAGAGGAAGTGGTGGAGGTCACATTTGCTGAAGGAAATGTAAATCCCGTATTGGATGTTTGAGGAGTAGAGGATGCAGTTGTTCCAAATCCAGAAGCATTTGTAGATCCAAAGGTACCAAAAGTACTTAAAGATGTATTTACTGATGGAACTCCAAATGTAAAACCAGTTGAGGCCACAGAGGTAGTTGCTGGTGGTTTAACTCCAAAACCGGTATTGAAAGCAGGAGCTCCAGGCTGAGCTCCCATTAAGTTTGGAGTTCCTGCAGTTCCAAATGATGGTGCCGTGTTTGTTGTAGCAGCATTGGTGACAGTACTAGAAAATCCGGTAGAGGCTTGTTCCGGCGGTCTTAAAGGATTTCGAAAATATTAATACGATTTATACAAAATTTAAAAATTATTAGTAACAAATATATAATACATAGTTTCAGAAAATGCTTTCTTAAAATTTTAAATACTCACTTAGAACCGAATAAATTTGTTCCCGATGAATTAAAACTAAAATTTCCAAACCCAGACATTTGATTGATTAAAACTTAATTTTAACAACTATATTATAATAAAGATCTCAAGAGCACTAATAAAAATAATCTAACAAAATAAAATATAATTGTAATTGCTTTAAAAAATACGTTTTTAGTAATAAAAGGCAACTTAACTAATGTCTGCTTACACGACAAAAGACATGTTTACGCTCAGTTTTCACGAGATAGTTACATAGGAAAAAGTTTTAATAATTAATTAATATAAAATTTTTTTTTTTCATCATTAGTATTCTTTTGTATTTTTAAAATGGATTTCCAAAATAGAGCTGGAGGAAAAACTGGTGGCGGAGGGGTAGCAACTTGGTCAGAATCTAATAGAGATCGAAGAGAACGTTTAAGGCAATTGGCCTTAGAAACAATTGATATTAACAAAGATCCTTATTTTATGAAAAATCACTTAGGTTCTTATGAATGTAAGCTATGTTTAACTTTACACAATAATGAAGGCTCTTATTTGGCTCATACTCAAGGGAAAAAGCATCAAGCTAATTTGGCTAGAAGAGCCGCTAAAGATGCTAAAGATGCACCTCAACAACCTGCGCCTGAAAAGCCAAGAGTAGATGTTAAAAAATTTGTGAAAATTGGTAGGCCAGGTTACAGAGTCACTAAGCAAAGAGATCCCGATTCTGGACAACAAAGTTTATTATTTCAGGTTTGTAATGTTAAAAATGATATGTATTTTATTTGCCTCGAATTCATTTAAAAATTAATTAAATTCTCTGTGTAGGCAAATCATCTAATAACAAATTTCAATAAAAATTTAAGTTTTATTTTTTCAATTTCTAACAAATTATTTATGATTGATTATTTTTTTTACAGATAGACTATCCAGAAATAGTTGAAGGTGTTTTACCACGCCACAGATTTATGTCTGCTTACGAACAAAGAGTTGAACCTCCTGACAGGAAATGGCAATATTTGTTGTTTGCAGCTGAGCCTTATGAGACGATTTCTTTTAAAGTAATTTTGTTTTTTAATTAAAATTTATATAGATTATTTATTAGGTTATTTTTTATTTTAAATTTAGTTTAAGAAATTTTTCACATTAAATTTAAATTTGATGCTTTGCAATGTAAAATTTGTTCTTCTGATCAAAACTTTTATTAAATTTTTTTCAGGTACCCAGTAGAGAAGTCGATAAATCAGATACAAAATTTTGGACTCACTGGAACAAAGATACTAAGCAGTTTTTTTTGCAATTTTCATTCAAAATAGAACCCAAGCAACCTCCTAAACCACCAACAATTGGTAACCCTCCTCCTCCATTAATGAAAAATCAAATTTTACCCCCTAACTTTGTTCCGCCTCCTCCCATGCCTCCCAGAAGTATGGTCCCTCCTCCTCCAAGATCAATTATGCCCTCAGTAGCACCTCCTTCTATGTTTAATTTAATACCACCCCCTCCTCCAATAGTCAGTACAACATCGAGTAATTTACCAATACCACCTCCTCCCCCCTCACCTCTCCTGAGAAACTAAACTAATTTTTAGTTTTTTTTTTATTATGTGTATATTTACATTTTAAAGAAATGGAAACTCCCCACTAAAATTTTGTGTAATCTATGATCATTACAATTTTATATTTAATGCATTACTGTAATGTTCAATGCAAGTTTAGTGAAATTCTATTTTAAAGGACCAAAAAAACTGATCAACTAAATAAACTAGTGATATGTTTATTCTGTATTATGAGTGAAATAGTGAAAAGATTTTCTCTGAATATATTATGAATTTTGATACAAAATAGTATTTTTGTTTTTGGCATACTTTAAGTAGGATTCAAGGTAAAGGAGAAATTTAAGAAATTCTTAAATAATTAAAAAATTTAATTAAAAAAATTTATTAGATTGAAGAAATACAATTATGCTTGGAGAATACAAGCTCCCCCAACAGCTTTAATTTTATCTTCTGCTCTCTTGGAAAAGAACTTTGCCTTGACAATGACTGGTTGTTTAGGTAATCTACCCTTGCCAAGAACTTTGTAATAGCCCTAAATAAAAAATTATAATTTAGATTTATTTTCAATTAACTTAACTTTTAAAACAATTTCTATGAATATTACTTACAGCTCTAACAACATCTATCACTGGAGCTTTCTTTTCTTTGCTATCAGCACACCTTAATCTAGTATCTGTGCTTACAAGAGTCCAAATTTTATCTAAATTTATAGCCTTGCACCATCTAGTATTTCTGTTAAGATGATAGTTTCTCATTCCCAACTAAAAAAATTACAACTGGATTAATTTCAACAATTCAAAAAAAAGTTAAAAAATTACTTGGTTACATTATTGTAAGTTTTTTACCTTTCCGAAATAACCAGGATGGTATTTGTCAAAGTTAATTCTGTGGTGGTGCATACCTCCTGCATTACCTCTACCACCTGGATGTTTACGGTGTTTACCAATACGTCCATGTCCATGTGAAACATGACCTCTCAACTTACGAGTCTTCTTCTTATTGGCAGCCTATTAAACAGTTAATAAAAATAATAATGTAATTTTTTAATCTGTAGGGTTGAATAAAAAAACCAAAACTTATGTTTGAAATTTAACAATTTTTACTGAAGACAATTTCTATTTTTAAATTCCACTTAAAATATGTTGCAATAAGATAAAAAAAATTTAATTCATAGTTTTAATTTCACATTAACTACGAATTAAAATAAAAGAGGATTGCTTAAATAAAAGAGAATACAATTAAATAAATAATTTACTCGAACTCACCATTGTAAAATTAAAACGTCAGGATCAAAGGCAACAAGACGTTGGCGACAAATTATTATTTATAAGTGGCATTAGACGACTTTTAAAAAACCGTGTATCGAGTCTATAATGTTATTAATTTTACATTTAATAAATCAAAATTCTACTTTTTTTTTTGTTTTTTTGGAAACTATTATTTTTTTAGTTTTACCAATTTTATTTTTAATGCAATAATTCAGTATTATATTTTTAAAAACATTTCTGTTAATCAATAATATGTAGTGAGACTATGATTTTTTCTCAAAAACCGAACTAATATTTAAGAATAAAAACCCATTATGTAGTTTATTTAAATTTTTCAAAATAATTTACGTTCAAGTTATTTAAATAAAGTTTATTGAAATTAATTGTATTTAAAAAATGGGGTCAGAACAAAGTACTCAAAAAAATGAAAAGAGTAAAATAAGGTCTTTACACCTTAATGAAAATGTTAAAAAAGGTCAACAAGTACTAAAATCTTCAACAGAAAGTACTGATTATTGCCAAAACAGGAGCTCATCACCAGGATTAAGTGTGTGTTCTGACTCTGATTTACCTTATATATCATATACTGTAAATCGGCCAATAGGTGGTGGGTTCTTAATTTATACGAAAAAAAATTTGTTAAACAATATGGAATAATAAAAAATTTATTTTCAGTAGATTCACCTAAAATTTCATCTAAACCATCATCTTTTCATAGAGAAAAATCTTTTGGAAGTGTTAATTATTCCTCATCTAAAAGAAAATTTGAAAACTCTAGGAAAGTCACTGAATCTCTCTCTAAAAGTGGTAATATTATTGTAGTCAAAGCACCCAAAGAACCAGAATGTAAAGAAAAAGATTTATTTTTATTAAAATTACAAAGCATTCCAATGTTTTTACCAATAATGAGAGGAACTTTAAATTTACCAGGCAAGTATAAAAATTTTATTCAAGTTATTTGTTGTATTCATTGTCAAAAAGTCATATTTTTTAAAAGTATCATTATTTATTCGATAAATTAAATGTGTTAATTACGTATTAATAATTTTTTTATGTACACAAATATGTGTAATCGTTTTTTACTTTTTTTTCAATTTTTTTAGGAATGAGAGATCCAGAAATATTAGAAAGATTAGATCCCCAAGATTTGCTTGGCTTGTGTAAAAAATTACAAAATTACATGTCTCTTTGCGTCAACTGTGCAACTAAAAATCAAAATCAAATCATAAACAGGATTAGAGAAGTAATTTTTTTTAATAATCAATTAAATAATTAATTTAAAAATTTATTTAAGTAATCAATTTTTTTTTTTAAATTATTTGTTTTTACTTTTCCTAAATATAATGTTGGCTGTTATCGTGCTTTCAGGTAGATTTTGAGTTATGTCATTTGGTGGTCAGTTTAGGTGAAAGACAAAAAAAATTAGTTAAGGAAACTGAAAAAATTAGTAAAATTAAGGAAATTTCTGTCATGCTAAATAAATGCCACAGCCAGTTAAACCATTCTTTAGAACTTATAGAAATTCTTAATAATGCTTTGCCTTCCAAATATAGATTAGAACCATTTGTTTGGACCACTGGTTAATTTGTTGTACTATTTCACTGTATTTATTTATATTAAGTGTATTTATGAATGTTTTAGTTTAGTTCGTTCTGCTCATTAATTTGACAATGAGTTACATTGGCTTATAAATTTAAAAAAAATTTTAAGTAAATTATTAATACTATTACTAATTATATTATAATAAATTTTAAATATAATAAATTACATGACAAAAAAAATCTTATTGAAAATTTTTATTCTCTAGTTGGTATATGTGTAAATAAAATAATCTAATTTTAACGGCATCGCATTGAGAAAGCATATAGAAAACAGTAGTCTGTATTGATTCCACTAAATATATAGTAAATATACTTTAAATATTAAGTAGTATAAAAATCTAAAATTTAAAATTCAATCGCCTTAGATTATTTACTTGTTAAAGTTATAAAAGTTTTTTTTTGAGATCTAAATCCACGTTTATATTCCCTTTTTACTACAGACACGTATTAAAATGCTTTAAATATATATATGTATAAATGTATATTTTTTTTTTTTTTAGAAACAAAAATTAGTAATTATATTTTTAATTTTTTAAAAATAATAATTTTGTATATTAATTTAAATACTTAGTAAAAACTAATGAGAAATATTTTAAAAGTATATTTTTATCGGTACTATTTGTTCTACTATTTGACTACACTTAACCTAAGTGGGTCAAAGAATTTCTAGTACGGTATGCGGTGAAATCGAGTATCATTTAATATTTGATGATGGAGTTTAAAATATGAAGAACAATTTTTGACAAGAAAAATTTTTCAAACCGAAGGTAAATTCATAATTAATACTTTTTTTTTTTACAAAAATTATTTTCAGTTGAAAATTTTAAAAAAATTTTTTTTCACTCAAAATAAGTTTAGTTTAGTTTCAGTGAATCATTTTATTAGAAACTTACGAGTTTTAAAATAAAAAAAAAAATTTAATAATTTTTGAGTTTAAAGGTAAAAATCAGTATTATACATAAAATAATTTAAATGAAATAATTAGATATATTAAAATTAATTTACCCAGATGAAATAATATGACTTTACAGTTGATGTTACAGTTAGAATTAAAATTGTTTTAAATTTTATTAATTGAAACTGACATTTTTTTTTATTATAAATGACATTTATTAATAATTTTATAAAATTATCATGAGGAATACTATTTAACTTTTTATCATTTACTTTGTCTCGATATCAAGTTACACTGCAATTTCTAATACCTATGTTTGATATAAATTTATTTTAAATTTAATTTTAATTAATTTGATAAAAAAATTTCAAACGGTTTAGTTTTGCAATTAACATTAATTTTTTGGTAAATTATAAATGAAAATTTAAAAAAAAACCATTAAAACTTTACTAAAATTTTCAAAAAAGAAAATAACTTATCCGGAATTTAATGATAATATTTAAAATATAATTTACTAATCAAAATATAAAGTAATAATATATTTGATAAGTTTAGGTTGTCCTTAGCCATTTTGTAAATTTTTTAATCTGTGACCGATTTTATATACTTATCGATTCGTTAAAATCTTATGTGTATAAGATGAAATTATTACAAAAAAAAGTAAAATTGTAGGATTATTGGAAGGGATAAATAGGAAATCATTTAAAATAATAATACATAATAATTTTGTTTTCAGTAATCAAATTGTTTTCCATTATCATTATGTATCTCATATAAAAATCATAAATAATTTTTTCAATGGTGATTTTTTTCGACTCACAAATTTTAAAATAATTTTTTCGTTTTAAATGTTAAAAAAAATTTATTCGACATGACAAAAAAAAAAAAATATTTATATATATATTGAAATAAGGCTTATTAATCTAAAGTTAAAATTAATATCTAGGTACAGGTATTCATGTATATTGTAATCTTTTTTTTTTTCTCGAAAAAGATGATATTTGTGTTTTTCAGTCAAATTTTGTCCGTTGATAATTTCTTTCATCATAAATTTTATTTTGTTTTTGAAATTCATGAGTTTGTTGTTTCCATTAATTTTTTCATTGTTAACCTGATTATGAAAATATTTAGGGAGAAACATTTTTAATCATCGAGTGCATTATTCAAATAATATTTTTGCGGGGTCTTTTTTTTATTTTTAGAAAGAATGAGAAAATTATTCCTCCCTGTCAATTCATAAACTTGTTATTGTGTTTAATAATAATAATAATAGTGTTAACAGCATGCAGACTCACTTTGATATGTAATAAGCCTGTTCTTTTTCTTTTTGTAAAGATTGTAAATGTTCTTCCCATTCTTTTTGTTTGGTTTGAACTTGGTTTTCTAATTGGTGAAGAACAACTTGAGTTTTTTGAAGGTCTTGAACGACATCGCGAGGAGTCGCCATTAATTCATTTTCAAGAATTTTAACTTTTTTTTTCAATTCATCTTTTTTCCATTTGAGTTCCTATAAAAAAAAAACAAACAACAACAAACTTTTTTTTTTGTTTTACAAAACTTTCACGTGTATTTATTGTGGGGGGAGGGGAAGGGGGATTTAAACTAAACCTCTAAAGCATCTTGTAGTTCTAATTTTTCAGCTCTTTCCAAATCGATGATTCTCTCCAAGGATTGATTTTTCGTCGTGACGCTTTTTATTTTTTCGCATTTTTCTTTCAATTGTTTTATCGTTTCCTGTTGATCTTCGATTATTTTATTTTTTATCAATAGGGAATCTTTGTCGTTTGCCGAAGACATTTTCAATTTATCATTTTCAATTTCCATCAATTTATTTTTTTCACGGAGTTTTTTAAATTCCGTTTCGTTATTCGATGTTTGACTCATTAAATTCTCGTGAACTTTTTCAAAATTATCGACATTTTTTTTCAAATTTTTTATCTGTTCTTCTAATTCTTTCGAATTGTTACGTATTACATCTAATTCTTTGCTTGTATTTTCCAATTTTTCCGTCTGCTCGTAACAAAAAGAATTAATCTAATTTATTTATTCATGTCATCGATATAATTTTAATAACGTTTTTATTTTATCGACTCGTAGTAAAAGAAAGTTAATAAGTTTATACGATAGTTAAAATTTTTTAAATGTGTGTCACGTCGAGAAGGTATTTTCATCGATTTCTAATTTTTTTTTTTTTTTTTTTAATTAACGTGAAAGTAACTGGTTTATAGCCCATGGCAAACCATTCATTCATTCATTCATTCGAAAATTATATTTATAAGACCCGTGGAAAATTTTTTAAATTATAAATAAACCGAGAAAATGGGGAAATTGTCATAATAAAAGTTGATTTGAATTTCTTTTCACATGTTAATTTATTATATGGTTCAAATTTATTATTATTATTATTATTTTTTTTTTTTTCATTTCGTAAGATTTTTTTATTCTTAACAAACAAAAAAATTTTTTTTTTATTTATATATTTTGTATGTTTGCATAATTTTATTTTCTTTAGTTTGTTTGTTTGTTTGTTTGTTTTCGAAATCGACCTACAGCCGAATTTTCTATTTTATTTTTTTGGCTTTTGTCTTACGTATAAATAGTTTTGTGTTCATCTTTTCCTCTCTCTCTTTCTCTCTCTCTCTCTCTCTGTTTTTTTTTAAGAAGGTAGGTTGTGTATCGATTGTAATAATAATAATAATAATAATTTTTCACTTGCCTTTTCTTTAAGGATAAATTTTTGTTGTTTAACTTCGTCTTCCAATTGGAAAATTTTTTTTTCCAAATTTTCTATTTTCGATTGACGATCGATTAGTAAACTCGATAGTTTTTCCATTTTTTTTTCGCTTTGATTTTTTTCACAATTTAATTTTTCTATTTCTTGTAAAAGTTTTTCAACAATTTTCACATCTCTTTCGCTGCATAAAGGAAATGGAAAAAAATCTTTTTAAAAAATTTTCTTATGATTTTCTATTTATTCTTGTAAAAAATTATAGAATTTTCTTTTTTTTTTTTTTTTTACCTATTTTTTGACGACGCGTGAATCAAATCCGTAAAATTTTCATCATTTTCCAAACATTGCGAATTTAAATGTTTTCGAAATATTTCGTCTATTTTATCTTTATATTGAGATGATCTAGAAAAAAAAAAATTACAATTAAATATTAATAAAAATTTAAAATAAAATAAATAAAAAAAAAAAAAAACTACAAAATATAACAAACAACATGATTCCCGTGTGTGTGTGTGTGTGTGTATGTAATGCTTTTAAAGCTTTCATCATCATCATCATCATTATTATTTATTTATTTATTTATTTATTTTTTGGATTTTTTGTTATTGATAATTACATATCGAATTTTGTAT